GTGTTTAGCCCAGTATTTTGGGGGACTACTGCAGGAGCTTAGTCTAAAACATTGACTAGCTGTAGTGTCTAGTTTTGTTTGAAACAGTCTCATTGCGTAGCCCAAGATTGCCTGAAGTTTTTGATCCTGGGACTTACAATGCTTGCATGCTATCGTGCCCAGCAGAACTCTGATACATGAGTTTTATTCACTTTTTTTTGTTTTTTTAGTAACAAGAATGGAACCTAGGACTTCATGTATGTAAGTCAAGTGCGCTGCCACTGTGCTTTTCCAAAGACCTTATGATTGGTGCCAGTGGCTTATACCTGTAATCCTAGCTACTCAAGAGGTGAGATCTGAAGACCCTGGTTCAAAGACAACTGGAGCAGATAAATATGAGGGACTTATCTCCAACTAATCATCAAAAAGCTGGAAGTGCTAATAATAGTTGTTATTGTTGTTTTGTTGGTCAAGGGGCTTGAACTGGGCCAGAATGCTGTCCCTCAGATCTTCAGCTCAAGGCTAACACTGTAGCACTTGAGCCACTGAGCCATTTCTGGTTTTCTGAGTGGTTTATTGGAGATTAGAGTCTCACTGACTTTCCTGCCTGGGCTGGCTTTGAACCTTGATCTTCAGATCTCAGCCTCCTGAGTAGCTAGGATTATGGGTGTGAGCCATTGGTTCCCAGCTTTATAATAATTTTTATAAGTACATTAGATGTAATGGCAACAGCTAGAAGTGGAGCTGTGGTTCAAGTGGTAGAGCATCAGCCTTGAGCAGAAAAGCCAAGCAAGTACAAGACCCTGAGTTCTAGCATAAAAATAAATAAATAAGCTTCCATGAAAAGGTAGTTACCCCTTTGTATAGCTGAGAAATCTTAGGCTCAGAACAACAGGTGGCCCAAAGACACAGCTCAGGAACCTGGTAGTCGGGTTGAACCCATGTCATTTACTTTTTTGTTGGGGTAGTTGTTCTGTCTACCATATTACCTCACATGTGACTTCTCAAAGTTCAGAACTGTTGTGTGTTCCTGTGCTCTCTTCCTTCCTCTCTCCCTCCCTTCTGTTTTTGTTATTTATCAGTTGGTTGGATGAGTTTTTTGTTGGTTTGTGTTGGACTGGGCCTTTCTGTGTAGCCAAGGCTGGCCTCAGCTCATAATCCTCCTGCCTCAGCCTCCTACCCATCCGGTTCTGATACTTTCATCTACTTAGAAAAGGTATGTAGATCTTTTAGTATACTTGCAAATGAAAATTGTAAGCAGAAGCTTTACCAAATACTATCCCTGTTAAATCAGTTTTGAGGCGTTGCTATTTAAATTTGTTTCCTGATAAATTAATTCATGTCAGTTAATAGATAGTGAAGTCTAGCAAATTAGTTCTTAATGACCAGACGAAGTGCAAATACAGCAGTATTACCTGCTCATTGTAGCAGCAGTTAGAACCGAATGATGGGTGCACTGGTGCACTTTCTCTCTCAGGAGCCCTGATGATGAAAAAATAAAAGTCCTCCGGAGAGTCAGACAAGACACTACTGTCTTCCTCCCTGCCTTGTGAGAACTGGTGGCAGGGGGCACTTTACAGTCGGGTTATTTGTAAGTTACAGCTCACAATGTTGATTTTGTAGGCTTGTTGTGAGGATTGAGAGGTTAGCTGGTCTGGTGTTGAGCTACAAGACCAACCACAGCAGTCTCACAAACTCTGCATGTGTGTCATCTGCATCTCATAGTTGGTGGGATGGGTGGAGCCATGTGTGACTTGAACCTAAGTAGTGTATGTCTAAACCTAAGTAGTGTATGTTTCACTGTTGTACTAAAGAGAACTGGGTTCTGTTTATTTACATTTAATGTATAAATAAGGGATAGATAGAGTGAACCAAAGGAATAAGGTAAGTCAGCAGTACAATAAAGGTGAAATGGTAGAGCCTTGGTATCTTGGTATGAGTTTTCTTGTTTTGTAGATTTGTACCTTTTTTAATATGTCCTTAAGAAAGTCCTGAGGTAATCCCAGGAGAGGGCAGGAGGCTTGGAAGTTTGAAGCCAGCCTAGGCTACAGGTTACACAGTGAGACCCTGTCAAGCCAGTGTGGGTTTAATAGTGAGACCCAGAGAGACAGAAAGACAGACAGACACAGACGGGTGAGAAAATCCTGAACTAGGAATGTAACTCAGTGTTAGCATACTTGGCACTGAGCTGAATTCCCAATACCATAACATCCCATAGTACTACCTTAGAACTGTTTTTACTTAACTAAATGTGTGTGTGTATGTGAGGTTGTGTGTCTGTGTGTGTATATGCGTGTATTATGTTTATATTACATATCACAGTACTAGGGATTGAATCCAGAGCCTGGAGCATGTTCCCTGCTCCACCACTTGAGTCACACCCCCAGCCCTTTTTATTGTATGTTCTGTTTTTGAGGTAGGTTCTTTACCTAGGGGCTGATCAGACCCTCCTGCTTCCTTCCACCTCCTGAAATATTTTAAGTTTTGCATTCTATACTTGTTTGTCTAGAGTAACTTAGGAATCTAAGTTTTGCGTCTTATTTATGTCCAGTATAATATGCTTGCAAAGGCTAGTTTCGATTTTGTGTGTGTGAGCCAGTACTAGGGCTTAAACTCCAGGCCTTGTGCTTTCGTTCAGGTTTTTTCATTTTTGTTATTTGTGCATAGCTGACATTCTATTACTTGAGGAACACCTCTAGTCTGGCATTTTTCTGGCTAATTGAGGGACTGTCAGCCTTCTCTGCCTAGGCTGGCTTTTAACAGTAGTCCTCCAGGTCTCAGCCTCCTCAGTGTGGCTGAGTGCCTGGCTTATAAAGACTGTTTAAGAAGAGAATCCATGGAGGTGGAGGCACAACTCAGTTGGCATGCCAGCCAGAGAGCAAAGCTGGAGGACCAAGTTCAAGTCCTAGTCTCACAACAAGAACAACAACAAAAAAGAGTATCTGTGTTGATGGATTCCTAACCTGGGCAATAGTGTATACCCACCTAGTCCTACATGTCCGTGCCTAGAGCATGGACCTCTCCTTCAGGATTTTATTCATTGACACAAAACACAGGTGTTCACCTCTCCTGCATAGTGGTACTGTGGGTCATTATATCCTCCTCTGTCCATTTCCTTCTCCTCTGCTCTCCTTCCCCACTCTTTCTCATTTCTCCTTTCCTCATCCTTCCCTTGCTGTTTCCACCCCATTTCTCTATTGTACCTTCCATGTTTGCAAGAGGGCACATTACTGGGGCTGGATCTCAGAGTTTGTACTGGCTAGGCAGGCAGCCTTCTGAGTCATGCCTCCAGTCCTTTTTCTGCACTGCTTAATTTGCACTTGCTTCCTGGTTTCTTTAGGTTTTTTGTTTTGTTTTGTTTTGCCCGGTTGTGGGGCCTGAACTCTGGGCCTGGGTGCTGTCCCTCACCTCTTCAGCTCAAGGCTAACGCTCTACCACTAGAGCCACAGTGTCACTTCTGGCTTTTTCTCCGTATGTGGTGCTGAGGAATCGAACCCAGAGGCAAGCACTCTACCACTGAGCCACTTTCCCAGCCCTCTTTAGTTATTTTATAAAGAAATAAAATTGCATCTAAAATATGATCATTTGTAAACATTTGTATATAGCACGTTTGTTGTGATTTTACTGGGTGGATTTGGGTCCACCCAGATTAATAAACTTCATTTCATATCCACACTTCTTAAGTTAGGATGTAATGACCTCAGTGTTGAGAAAATCCACAAGGCATGGGCAAAAGTGACAAGGAGGTTTTTTTGGGGGGCGGGGGGTTTGGCTGTGACTGCCTTGTCCCAAGAGAACTGAGAGCAGCCCTAACCTCCAATAGGGCAGAGTTTATGTAAGTCAGAACCACACATAGATGGCAGTTTACAGAAACTCAAAGATGATTGGTGTAGGGATATTCTTCAGCTGTGGTCAGGACCAGGCAGACCGCGTTCTGGAGGCCAGAGATTCAGGGTTCAAATTGGGGGTTATCAAAAAAGCTGGGTTATTACAAGAAGAACATATAAATTAGATTTATACCAATATAATAAAACCTAAGAGAGAAAACTAGAGTATTGTAGGCTTGGAGCAGACTTAGATGTAGAGGTGTCTACCATATTTGCTGTTCTTATACTCCAGTGGACTTTTAGTTTAACTAAATCTAAATAATCAGGATCTGATTATATACTACAATTGTGAAACAAAAAATTTCATTCAGAAAGAAAATCAACAAGTAGGAACTTAGTACAAACCTAGAAGGTTGGGACTTCAGTGTGTGTTAATTTTCAAGAGCTCTCATTGTAATACTTTGTAACTTGGCTATCTAAAACTCCATTATATTGACCTGTAGGTGAATTGAACATGAGGAGAAAATGACACAAAACTGCTCATCTCAATCCTACATACTGTTTTTTTTGGGGGGGGGCGGCAGGGGGCAATACTGAGACCACAGCCTAGTGATATCTGAACAACAAAATTAAATTGGAAAACAAACATACCTTGTCAGATTTGCTTCTGAATAAAAGTATACATGTAGAATATAAAGTATTACATGTTTTAAACCCACTTAGGAAGATTTGTTATTTAGAGAAATACATGGGAAATCCTCTAGCAAAAGAAGAATGGCCCCAGTTTACAACTTTTTCTTCTAGTACTACGGCTTGAACTTAGGCCTTCACACCCTTACACATTGCTAGCACTCTACTACTTGAACCACATCTCTAGTCCAGCACTTTGCTGGTTTATTAGAGATGGAGTCTCTTAGACATTTCTGTCCTGGCTGGTTTGGAACTATTTATCTTCCAGGGCTCAGCCTCCTGAGTAGCTAGGATTGCAGTATTACAGTTTGTACTGATCTTTCATCTCATATACTGTATCTATTTTGTATCTAGGAGAAAGCGAGGGCTAATAAAGGACTGGAGGAATACAGGTCAGCCATCTATGCTGAGAATTAGGAGAAGGTAGATTTTCAGTGCATATTAATTCTGGAAAGGTGATCTTCTTTGACTTCTACTAACATCTTCCTCTTGCTTTTATTTTAGATCGAACGGTTGGAAGTAAGCAGCCTCGCTCAGACTTCCAGTGCAGTGGCCTCTAGCACTGATGGCAGCATCCACACAGAGTCTGCGGATGGAATACCAGACCCTCAACGCACAAAGGCTGCCATTGCTCACCTGCAGCAGAAAATTCTAAAGCTTACAGAACAGATCAAGATTGCACAGACAGCCCGGGACGACAATGTTGCTGAGTATTTGAAGCTTGCCAACAGTGCAGACAAGCAGCAGGCTGCCCGCATTAAACAGGTCTTTGAGAAGAAGAACCAGAAATCTGCCCAAACCATTCTCCAGCTACAAAAGAAGCTTGAGCACTACCATCGGAAGCTTCGAGAGGTAGAGCAGAATGGGATCCCCCGGCAGCCAAAGGATGTCTTCAGGGACATGCACCAGGGTCTGAAAGATGTGGGAGCCAAGGTGACGGGCTTCAGTGAAGGTGTGGTGGACAGTGTCAAAGGTGGATTCTCCAGCTTTTCCCAGGCCACCCATTCAGCAGCAGGAGCTGTGGTCTCTAAACCCAGAGAGATCGCCTCGTTAATTCGGAACAAATTTGGCAGTGCAGACAACATCCCTAACCTAAAGGACTCTTTGGAAGAGGGGCAAGTAGATGATGCGGGGAAGGCTTTGGGAGTGATTTCGAACTTTCAGTCAAGCCCAAAATATGGTAGTGAGGAAGATTGTTCTAGTGCTACTTCAGGTTCTGTGGGAGCCAACAGCACCACTGGGGGCATCGGTGTAGGAGCATCCAGCTCCAAAACAAACACCCTAGACATGCAGAGCTCAGGATTTGATGCACTTCTACATGAGATCCAAGAGATCAGGGAGACCCAGGCCAGACTGGAGGAATCCTTTGAGACCCTCAAAGAACATTATCAGAGGGACTATTCCTTAATAATGCAGACCTTACAGGAGGAGCGATATAGGTAAGTTATATGAAATTAAAATCCTGATTATGGAGTATAGAGAAGTCACTTCAAAAGATCTTTATCTTTTTCTAGGTGTCAATGTACTTTAAGTATGACATATAGCATCTACATTTTATTGTTTATCAAACAGCAAAATAGAGGTCATACTCCGGTGAAACATTTTAGACAGGGGATGAAACTTTAACCTCTCCAGTCCTTGATTCCATTTCAAGACTTTCTAAAGTATTCCATTTATGTGTTTAAACTACAGTGGCACAAAATAAGTGAAACCTGTACCCAAACTACACTGAATTCTAATTACCTTAATTCTCAAAACTCTTTAGATAATCAAAGTGTAATGAACCCTGTATATTGGCCTTTAAACAGACTTACCTGCACAGTTGGTACAAAGATTGGATCGGAAATAAATTCAGATGTGTATCTGTTATCTTTACTATGAATTGACACATGTTTGAATGGGAGGAGACTTAAGTATGAAATAGTTTTGTTTTTGTTTTTGTTTTTTTTTGTTGGTCATGGGGCTTGAACTCTGGGCCTGGGCGCTGTCCCTCAGCTCTTCAGCTGAAGACAAGCGCTCTACCACTTGAGCTACAGCACCACTTCTGGTTTTCTAGTGCTTTATTGGAGATAGGAGTCTCATGGTCTTTCCTGCCCAGGCTGGCTTTGAACCGCAATCCCCAGATCTCAGGCTCCTGAGTAGCTAGGATTACAGGCATGAGCCACCGGTGCCAGGCATGAGATAGTTCTATAGCAACTCTCAAAGGACTCAACACTCTTGAGACAGAATCCAAGGAGAAATTGGTCTATTTTAATTTATTATTGGTTTATTCCTCATGTTGAGTGTTGAATCCAAGGCATGTAACCACACACCGTATGGCTAATGTACACCCCCAGCCTTAGTGTTTCATATGCACTACTTAGTATTAGACTGTTCAGCTGTGCTTCAGATATGTGTTCTTCCTCTTACCCTCCCCCATCCCGCTTTTAGGCAGTACTGGTGATGAAACTCAGAACCTCATTCTTAGTGCTATACAACTTGAGCCACATCCCCAATCCTTCCCCCTATTTTTCTTCACATGCAGAGAGACTATCTTCCATGAAATACTTCATTCAGCCAGAGACTAGCTACCTCATTTTGCAGAATAAAGACCAGCTTGCAGGAGCCCTATATCTGCCCAGCAGTTAAGCCTTAAAGGACCAGGATTCTGGTCCTGTCCCAGTTACGAACTAGGGAGAATCTTCTACTGTAATATCGAGGGTTGAACAGTCTTTTGAGGTTTTTATGAGATAGTCTCAGAACCTGAAATAAACTGTTCATGCTTACCAGTTAGCTATGAGGCTAGGAATAGCACAAGTCCCTTTCAAATGTGATAATGCTAGTCAGTAATTACTGCTTTTCTTTATTCTTCTGTCCTTCAAGACTTCAAGGAATAAGAAAAGAGAAGTGAATGTGGAACAGAAAAATTAATTTCTAAAAAATGTTACTATTTTGGGGGCTGGGAAGGTGGCTCAGTGGTAGAGCGCTTGCCTTGCATGCATGAGGCCCTGGGTTCGATTCCTCAGCACCACATAAGCAAAAAGAAAAAAGCCCGAAGTGGCGCTGTGGCTCAAGTGGTAGAGCGCTAGCCTTGAGCTGAAGAGCTGAGGGACAGCGCCCAGGCCCAGAGTTCAGGCCCCACGACCAGACCAAAAAAAAAAGTTACTATTTTTATTTCAGTGTTCTGTGTGTGTGTGCACACACGTGCACATGTTTCTACTGGGGCTTGAACTCAGGACCTAGGAGCTGTGCCTGAGCTGTTTTGCTCAAGGCTAGTGCTCTACCACTTGAGCCACAGCTCTTATTACTGGTTTGTTGGTGATTAACTAGAGATAATCTCAGGGACTTTCCTGCCTGACTGACTTTGAACCATGATTCTAAGACTTCATCCTTTTGAGTAGTTAGGACTATAGGTGTGAGCCACCAGCATCCTGCTTGTGTATTCTTTAACATGATAAATCAGTGTCCAAAACAAAGAAGTTAAATATCCTAAATAGTCAAGTGGTGGGCATGGTGGTACATACCTGTTATCCAGCATTTGGGAGGCTAAAATAAAATAGGAGTTCAAAGTCAACTTTGAACTACATAGCCTGGGCTACACACAGTGAGATTCCATCTCAAACAATATTTTTTTTAATCAAGTAGATCTTTTTATCTAAATCCCAGGCTCCAATTCCCTTTCCCTCATTAACCTTGAAAACCAAGCACACATGAGATTATTGTGACACTTAAGTAAAATCTTTAATGTAAAGTATGTAGCTCAATGCTTGACCTCACAGTGGTTGTCCATTGATGTCAGAGAGAAGCTGCTGCTAATCACACCCCACCACCAAGAAGACCTGAGTGTTGCTTACTCGGTTGTTTTAAAACTATTTAAAAACAACAATATCTGCTTTAATTTTTTTGTTGTTGTTAGCCATGGGGCTTGAACTGGGCCCTGTCCCTGAGCTTTTTTGCTTAAGGCTAGTGCTCCACCACTTTGAGCCACAACACCACTTCAGTTTTCTGGTGGTTAGTTGGAGATAAAAGTCTCATGGACTTTTTTGCCCAGGCTGTCTTTGAACCTCAGATCTCAGCCTCCTGAGTAACTAAGATTACAGGCATGAGCCACTGCTGCCCAACTGATGTTTATTTTAAATGGAAAACAAAACATTCCAGTTTTTCAATTCCTCTAGAGCTTAAAATTAACATGTCGTCTTCAAATAAGATGTAGGTCAATATAAGAAAATCAGAGAGGGAAAACCACATCTCCCAAGCCTACCTTTTAATCCACTTAGTATTAGTCTGAGAGAACACAGAACTTTAGTTCCTTATTATCACCTTAGAGGAATCTGGCCAAGCCTCTGAGAGGTGTTGAATAGTGCTTTTTTTTCCATTGCACTACAGGTTTTCTGCAGTATAAGGACTGGTTCTATGAAATGAAAAGAAACTAAAGGAAACTTGAGTTTTGTAAGAAGAGAAGAGAAGAAAATCGGGGGGGGGGCAATAATATATAATCTGATATATTTGTAATCCCACTTCACTCTTAGAATGGTGTCTCCTTAAAATCCAGTCTTGAAAGGAAGCCTTTTTTCCCCTCTAGGAAATAGAGTGAAACAATCACAGTTATTTCACTTGATTCTTGCCTCCCACTCCCACCCACTCTCCTCACCCCCGCCGGACTTGGCCTCAAGCTTGCAAAGCAAGTGCTTTCCCATTTGAGCCCATGCCCACAGTCCCTTACTCAGTTATTTCTGTACCAATAATCTCCTATAAGGAGTAAAGAGATGTGCTTTTCCATTATATGTCTTTGCACAGTAAATATATTTGTCTAACATTAGCCATTTTTGAGCAGTTTCACATAAGTGAGGGTTTTTTCCCCACAACTGAAGCTATTCTAAGAGCTAAAACTTCATATTTTAAGCTTTTTTTGTTGAGAATTTGTAATCTGCCTTTTAACAAAATATGCTGAACCCATCTTAATGGGAATAGCTTAGTTAGTGTTCTAGCATATAATGAAACTCAAGCTAGTAAGACCATGTATTTATGTATCTGCCCCTACAGAAAATGGACTTAGACTATTTTAGCCCATTTGTCTGCTGTAAGTTTGTTTTTTCTCCTTTCTGTATTTCCTCTACACTGTTAGTGAGCTGCCTGCAGCAGTCTTTTTTTGCTCTGTGCCATAGCACAATTCAGATCTTGGGCATTGTAGCTATTTCTACTGTATCAAACTTTGCTTTTTATATAGGAAGTAAGGCTAGTGGACTCTTTTTCTTTTTTTTTTTTTGGTCAGTCCTGGGCTTGAACTCGGGGCCTGGGCACTGTCCCTGAGCTTCTTTTGCTGAAGGCTAACACTCTACTATTTAAGCCACAGCACCACTCCCAGCTTTTTCTGTTTATGTGGTACTGAGGAATGAAACCCAGGGCCTCACGCATGCTAAGTAAGGACTCTACCACTAAGCCACATTCCCAGCCTACTAGTGGACTCTTGAATGACCAAGAACTGCTCTAGGTGTTTTGCTTTGATTTTCTTTCTTTTACAAAAATTTTCTGGGGGCTGGGAAGGTGGCTCAGTGGTAGAGTGCTTGTCTTGCAGACACGAGGCCCTGGGTTTAATTCCTTAGGACCACATAAGCAGAAAAGGCTGGAAGTGGTGCTGTGGCTCAAGTGATAGAACACTAGCCTTGAGCTGAAGAGCTGAGGCCAGGCCCAGAGTTAAGGCCCCACGACTGCCCACCCCCCAAAAAAAAAAATCTGTGCTTTAGTTTATTTTTCTAGTATCTGCGTTAGGAAGGAGACCATACAGTGTTGCTAGTTACATGATGTTATCATTAATAGAATCTACTAAATTGCTGTGGTGTGTACATGCTATACACTTTACATGCATTTTGCCAAGCTTCACAGTAACCCTTCAAGAAGCTTATTTTATAACGTTTTATAGACAAGGAAATTGGAGATTTTTAAGTTTGCCTGAGATTACTTAGTAGAAGTATTAAAGCAAGGATTCAATCCCAGTTTTATTAGACTGGGATTAGACTTCAAGTTGTGCTTTTTACACCAGAACAAATTGATTTCCAAGTTGAAACCTGAATCCTATGTGGTTGAAAGATTAGTCTAGTTCTAAGAATCAGTAATTGCATTGACAGTGGTATTGGGCCTTTCCTAGATCAGAGAGAGAGAGAGAGTGTATGTACTAAAAGTTGAATCCTTGTCTTTAGCCTATTTTACAAAACTTTGAATGTGCAAGCTAGTGCAACAGTATGGGCAGTTTGTGCACTTAAACCTTCACATGATCATTATTTCCTCTTTCAAAGTCCTTTCTCAATAACACCACTATCTTTCTTTTTTTTTTTTTTTTTTTCCTGTTGTTTTTTGTGGGGGAATCCAGTCGTGGGGCCTGAACTCTGGGCCTGGCTGCTGTCCCTCAGCTCTTCACCTCAAGGCTAGCGCTCTACAACTTGAGCCACAGCGCCACTTCCCG